ATTTTATTAAACCACTTACCTATATAGCTTGATCGCAGCAGAACTATGTCTGAAGTAAACCAAACTTTCTGAATTAAATCCAGCTTACATGATCTGTGGATCAGGGTGGGGCTGTACTAATCTAAGTCATATGTATGCAACTGGACAAAAAAGACTAATCTCAAGGGGCAATATGGGATGATGAAAATCAGACTTATTGAGTAATAACAGTTTTTTTCATGGCCCTGGATTACCGGCCAAATTGACTGCTTCAGTTGACAAAAATGCTTTTTGAAAATAAAAATTCAAAATTAAATTGCTGTAAGGTGCATTAAAAAACATAAACCTCAGTGCCTAGCCTGTTTGATCTCTCCCTTAACTTTGAAATAAATTAAATAAATGTTAACAGGGATATGAGTGATTTTAATGTTATATAGAAAACAATGTGGAATTTACAATTCTGGTGTTGTAGATAACAATGTGGGATTTAAACCAATGGAAAACTATGACAATCACAGAATGCCCACCCACCAGGATCAGCTGTTCTTCATGTCAAAGTAAGACCAATACAAAATAATAGCTAATAAACACTATAGGTATTTAATGGATTTGGCTAACCTTGACAAGGTTTTGTTGCTAGATGTCATTTTAGTAAGCTTTTCTCTAAGAGAAGTCTTTGTTCAGTTTACAGACAGCCCAGTGTTAGCTGTGTGTAGTGACAGTGGAGGGTCGGTGTTTGAACTAGAAATGAAGTAGGTTATATTTCTTATATCTAGGTTATATTTCTTATATCTACAGGACTTTTTAAAAATAAATGTTTTTGAATATGCATAGTTTTAGCTCACCGGAGTAAACTCAGGTGACCTATTGCTATCCGTTTTCATCTATCGTTGTTTGCCATGCATTAACATTTGAATATTTTCATGTTCTTCTCTGAAACCGCTTAACCAATTTTAGCATAAAGCATCTATGGGTGAAGAGGAATAAAATTTTTGAATTTCATGGTCCTTACCCCCCTGGGGCCTTGGGGGTGGGGCCAAACCACTAAAATTAATGCAATCTTTAAAAATCTTCTTTACTTCTGAACAACAAGCAGTAACACTATTGGTATGATCATAATCAGCATTGAGTCCTCTACCAAAATTTTGAAATTCATGGCCCTGGGGTCAGGGGTTCTAGTGCTAGGGCGGGGGCTATATAGATTATGTAGTGAAAATGCATTATTTCTTTGAAATTCTACTTCTCTGCTCCTGGGCATTAAATAAACTAACTAAGTGCATAGTTATGTTGATTATGGCTGCCTCTTCCAAATTTGTGAATTTCATGGCCCCGGGTTCAGGGGTTCTGGTGTTAGGGTGGGGCTCTATTGATTATATTTAAGCATTGAATTCATATTTGTATGTTTTATATTAACACACCTGGCCGTGCTGACAAATTGAATACCGCGCGTTAGCGCAGTATGATAATTTGTGCGCAAGTTTAGGTGTGTTATATGTTCCATCATATCCTTCAAGACTCCACAATATATGAATTCTTTGTTGGTATATTTACATTCTTTAATTTTTTCCTCTTCATAATTGTTTATTTTGGTAATCTTTAAAGTGAATTTAGCGCCCTTCAAAACTGGTTTGCTTTATAGACGTAAGAGCCGTTTGTGACGTCTTAAAGTTAATTAACGCAAACGAACATTGCGAGGAAAAAAAGTGACAAATTAATTTTAAATGCACAATATTGTATTTTAACGTTAATTCAAGAGGGTTAATTTTTAGCTCTACTGGTCAGAGACCAGAAGAGCTTATGAGATAGTAATGATCTGGTGGTCCGTCCGTTGTCCGTCTGTTGTTTCATGTCGCATATCTGTAAACAATTTTTCAAAATGCTACTTCTTTTACAGTTTTGATCTGATTTCAATATAACTTGGCACACAAGTAGACTACACTAAGATACATAATTCTGTGTATCGGTTTTTGATTTTGATAAACGGTGTTGCCGTGGTAACTAAAAATAGAAATTTCTGTGAAATTTGTTGAAAATGCTACTCCTCCTACAGTTTTGGTCTGATTTCAATATAACTTAGCACACAAGTAGACTACACTAAGATACATAATTCTGTGTATCGGTTTTTGATTTCGATGAACGTTGTTGCCGTGGTTACTAAAAATAGAAATTTCTGTGAAATTCTTTCAAAATGCTACTCCTCCTACAGTTTTGGTCTGATTTCAGTATAACTTGGCACACAAGAAGACTACACTAAGATACATAATTCTGTTTATCAGTTTTTCATTTCGATGAATGTTGTTGCTGTGGTTACTAAAAATAGAAATTTCTGTGAAATTCCTTTAAAATGCTACTCATTCTACAGTTTTAGTCTGATTTCAATATAACTTAGCACACAAGTAGACTACACTAAGATACATAATTCTGCTATAGGTTTTTGATTTCGATAAACGATGTTGCCGTGGTTCTAAAAATAGAAATTTCTATGAAATTCTTTCAAAATGCTACTCCTCCTACAGTTTTGGTCTGATTTCAATATAACTTGGCACACATGTGACTACATAAGATACATAATTCTGTTTATCAGTTTTCGATTTCAATAAACGGTTTTGCCGTGGTAACTAAAAATAGAAATTTCTGTGAAATTCCTTTATAATGATACACCTCCTACACTTATGGAATTATTTCAATATAACTTTGCACACTAGCAGACTACACTAAGATACAAAATTCTGTGTATCGGTTTTAGATTTCGAAGAACTTTTTGGCCCTGGTTACTAAAAATAGAAATTTCTGTGAAATTCCTTTAAATTGCTACTCCACATACAGTTTTGGTCTGATTTCAATATAACTTGGCACACAAGTAGACTACACTAAGATACATAATTTTCTATATCTGTTTTTGATTTCGATGAACGTTGTTGCTGTGGTTACTAAAAATAGTCATTTCTGTGAAATTCTTTGAAAATGCTACTCCTCCTACAGTTTTGGTCTGATTTCAATATAACTTGGCACACAAGTAGACTACACTAAGATACATAATTCTGTTTATCAGCTTTCGATTTCAATAAACGGTTTTGCCGTGGTAACTAAAAATAGAAATTTCTGTGAAATTCCTTTAAAATTTTACTCCTCCTACAGTTTTTCTGATTTCAATATAACTTCGCAAACTTGTAGACTACACTAAGAACATAAAGAGACTTTATCAAGGATCATTATTCTTCTATTGCTGTTGTTAAGTTTCAATTCCCAACTGCTGAAGTACTTTTCTCTTCCTTTGCTATAAGTACAAACCAGTAGAGCTTCAGTCTCGACAGAGACTTCTGGTTTTTATTGAATTGTGTCAAACACTGTTAATTTTGGTGATCATAAAGTATTGAAAATGCATATAGTACCTACTGTGTATTTTTACGCGCGGTGACAAGGTTTCATGTGTGTTATAGAGATTTGAACGTCATGGATTTCTAATGGATTTCATAAAGAAAATTACACTGAATGTAAATATAGTGAAAATGCATAAATTCTTTAAAAATCTTCTTCTCTGTTCCTGGGTATTTAAACCAATGAACTATGTACATATTTATGTATGTGCCATTTCCAAATTTGTGAATTTCAGGGCCCCTTTGTCAGGGGTTCTTGTGTTAGGGCAGGGCTGTAATGTTTATATATAGTGAAAATGCATGAATTCTTTGAAATCTTTTCCTTGGCTCCTTGGTATTATGCCAATGATCTAAATACATAATGATGATATTAGTGATGAAAAAGCAGCCTCTTCCAAAATGTTAATTTCATAGCCCCTGGGTCAGGAGTACTTTTTAAGCTTAAATTTATGTTTTCCTCTTAATATTGAATGATGTTTGGTATTTTCCCCAAAATTTTGTGTACGTGATTTCTCAGCAACTATTCAGTGGATTTCACTGAAATTTACAGAAACAATACGCATCTGTTGGAACTAAATACATCTGGAAGGAAGTTGAAGTTAGAAAACTCACTTTTGATACCAAGTTATGGACAATTTTGTGATTTTTAAAATGCAATTTTGTCGCCCCCTTTTTTTTTTTCAAAAACGGGAAAAAAATTTGAACTTGAGAGCGTAGGGCATGTCTCTTAGATGTTAGTTCAATTATACGCGTGTTTTTTCAGAATCGGACAGAGCTTCTCTGAAGTTTCATTTCTAGTTTATTATTTTTTTTTATCATCTGGCGATTGAAACAATCATATACTCTTATATTTTATATTTAGTTTAAACATGAGACTAGGTTGGCCCATGGCAGATCCAGAAAGGGGGGGTTATGGGGGTTACCCCCCCCCCCCCCCTTTGGATTTGCAAAGAAAGAGGAAAATCCCAAATTTTTGTTCTGTTTTTACTTCAGAAAATGTTCAGTGAAAGGCTTATATTGTAATATATAAAGAAATTCGATTGTGAAAACAAAATGAAACCTCAGATTTTCGGGTTAGGACATTTCCTTTCTTTTCCAAAAACTTTCTGGTAATCCATTCAATTATTTTTCCAAGGTTGATCAACCTCCCCCTTTTAAAACTATACTCGACTCTGTATCTATTGAGTTATTTAACGACATGTTTATGTAAAACTTACCTTTAAATAACTCTTTTCCTCTTCAACCCCCCTCTGAAAAATTTCTAGATTAGGCCTAATATTGGCCAATTCTAAAATGTTTTCACTTCCATCAAACCAGTAAAAAAAAATTATGCCATAGTGCCGCCTTTCGCCCCACTCCCCCTGCTTTTTGCTCGCAATTTATTTACTCTGTAATAATGATACTATATATGAAAGAACCTATTTTCTTATTCATACAAAATTAAATTTTGTAAGTAGAAAAATATAGGGGAAAAGGCTTTACAGATGACAGGTATAAAAAAACATGGATATATAACGCCAAGGCTGCACACATACAATACGTTCCCTATTTCTGTATGTTCAAGTATAATTTTGCTGAATTTAACTCTTTTTACAATTCTTGAGAAAATAAAAATAAAAATATATATTACTTGAAAATAAAATATTTAATGAAGCTAAACTGTCTGCTCTCAGTTGTTGCATATACAAATACTTAAAAAAGAAAATCCCGAATATCAAGTGAAGAAATCAAACTGTACATGTATAGTAATTTAATTGATCTTCATGTACGTAAATGACATTAGTAATTTGAATATATATTTGAATCCATGGATAAAATCATTTAGAAACAGCTGAATGTCTGAAAAAAATAAAAGACAGACATACTTTTCTGATTAGTGAAAATGCAGGGCTAAATTAAGGAAATATTTCTAATTTTTTAGTAAAAACCAATGCCGATTGAAATAAATCTGATCCTGATGGAAAATAATGCAAAATTTATGACGTTATCAAATAAAAGACAACTGCCCCCTAGCTATAAGACATGTTAAAGATAAATCAAGTTTTTTTTTAACCATGTTACAACAAAAAAAGCCAAATTTAACAATACAATTATTAGTATTTTCCTCTTTATATAATTCCAGTTGGGATTGGTTTAAATAGGGGAAAATTACAAATAATAGGTAAATTTAGTTCCTTTTATTTCTCTCAATATACATTTTCCCACTGATTTTATTGAGTAGCTCAAATGTTTGTATTGTTTTGTATAATAATATGGGGGGAAAATTTCTGTCATTCCAATGTATTAGATTTTATAACGTAATAATGAAAGGTGGATACTAAATTCAAAAAGTCACTTGCTAAACTCAATTTTGGACCACATAAGTAATTTTTTTACCCTCATGTTGCATTGAAATCAAGCATTTGCCAAAAATAGGACTAAAGGAGCACTAAAAAATTGTTTGATGTTGTCATGTGTAAATACTGTTTTAATAAGGCTACATGCAAAAAATCATTAAAATTCATGACATGCGGTATGCCACCCATTGCGTGGTTTTTCGGTGGAGTGCCTATTTTAAAATGCCAGAATAAGAATCACTTTAGATACTTGTACACTGACAGTGTGTTGGTGAATTGTTGTCCTACACAGAGATTGTTCTCATCATCAACACAAACACTACGCGGATGCATTACCCCTTGTTGTGGTGTGAGTAATAGAGACAAGAACTGACCGTCCTGATCAAGGAGGTGAACAGATTCATTGTAACTATCACACACCAGGATGTGACCGAGGACATCAGTACAGATTCCCCAGGGACGGAACCCTGACTTTTGACCTTTGTAGGAAAATCTGTGTTTTCCTGATTTCACCACCACTACATCACCTTTATTAAAGTCTGATGTACAGATATCTCCATTGATGTTTTCTGTTATGTAATGGGGTAACATATACAGTTCCTGTCCTTTGTTATCCCTCTGTATGTTCTGTAGTTCTTTTCCTGTCTTGTTGTACCTGGTGACTTTGGCCTCTCCAATCTTTATCATCCCCACCAGTAAGTCCCCATTGATGTGGGAGGAGTGTGTGCTGTATGGTGTCCAGTCTCCAGTTTTAATGAATTCAGTGATATTATTATCCTGTGTTATCCTATTGACAACTTTCTTGTCTTTGTCTGTAAAGATCAGATCCCCGTCCTGTGTGACTGTGTGGTAACCTTCACGTCCACCACTGGTTTTTATCCTCTGTATCACATTCCCCTGTAGATCTATTTGGACAAAATTACCATCATTGTCACTGATCCAGAGTCTGTCTGATTGATCTAGTGATACATGAAATACATTCCTAACACCTGGTACATTGAACTCCCTGACTTTGGTGACAGAGGCAGATAGAGACAATGTTTGTTTCTTGTCAGATTTCACATGTTTATTTTGTTTTGACTGTTCATTTGTAGATTTCATTGATGTAGAGAAAGAAGCAATTTCCATTGGCTTTACTCTTCTTAGTTCTGCCTTTCTATCAGATTTTATTAATTTCCCCAATAATTTAGCAACATCATTTTTCCTGTATTGAGCAAAAGAAAATTCTGGTGTGACACATTTTGTGGTTTCTGGTATGGATTGTATTTTTAAGTTGTTTGGAAGTTGAGTTGTGAAGTTAGTGAGCTCAGTAGAGGACAGGTAACTCTGGAACTCTTTAACGAGGTCACTGAGATAGGCAATATAATCATCAAATGTCTTCTCTTGGCTCTGTAATTTCTCCAGTAATGACTTCTCTATTCGGTTTAATTCTTCCATATTTTCTGAGAGCACTGTGTCCACCATGTTTTTCAGAGACTCGGCTTCAGCCTTCATGGATGTCCGTATGCTGTCCATGATCTGTTTAACTTCTGTGGCATCTTCCCAAACTTCTTTCTGTAAATCCTGTGTTGTAGGAACAAAGTAATTATGGATTTTAGAGATTTCCTTTTGGCAAAGAGTAAATTTCTCTGTGTAAATAGTTTCTAAATCGGTAAATATATGTCCATGGTGCTCTTGCATTGTTGAACACTTTGAACATAAAGGAATATTGCAGTCTTTGCAGAGAATGTCTATTTCTTTAGTGGGGTGGATCTTGCATTTCTCCACAGGAAGTTGCCTTTTGCGTTGCTGGTAAAGGACCACCTCATGGTTTTTGTTTTCTGGAATCTTTAGATGTTGGTCTCTGCATGGTTTACACATCTGATGATGGCAGGAATTGCAGTAGAATTCGCAATTTTTCTCACAGTCTTCAAAACCACACTCTAGAAAGTGTTGAGGAGTGTCTGGAATTTTTGGTTTGGAAAGTGCCATCTGAAATTAACATGTAAAAGTTTGTTACCTGCATATGGGTTCCGTATCTGCAACTGTTACAGTTGCAGATCTTTAATTTAAGGTGAACTACAATGTTGTCTGACTCTAATTATAGAGGAACACCCACATAAAGGAAACAATTCTATTGTATGTGTATTAAATCTTAATTATATTAGAGAAATTGGACTTACCAGTAAATAAATAAACTTGTCCTTTTTTAAATAAAATTTAAATTTCATGCAGGCAACCCTGTACTTACTTTTGATGTAAATGACCTCTAAACGTAAGATCTGTTATCAAACTAAATACATGTATGGATTGTCAGAGTGAGATTTTAGTCGAGACTTAGACGAGATCTGTAATTAACTTCCTTGATGAAGATAAATATAGATTTAAAAGCCCTGTTAACCCAGATATGTACTTTTAAATTACTATCATCTGTATTCATAATAGCATGGGGGGAAATTTCTGTCATTGTAATGTTATAATGAAAAGTGGATACTAAATTCAAAAAAATCACTTGCTAAACTCAATTTTGGACCACATAAGTAATTTTTTTACCCTCATGTTGCACTTAAATCAAGCATTTGCCAGAAATAGGACTAGAGGAGCACTATAAGAAATTTTTTTTATGTTGTCATGTGTAAACACTTGCTTTAACAAGTCTTACTGCAAAAAATCATTCAAATCCATGACATGCAATATGCCACCCAGGCGCGGATCCAGGAATTGGAGTTAGAGGGGGCGCCAAAATTTGGCAAGGGGTCTGGGGGTCGCCTTGAGGCCCCCAGTGGGTCCAGGGCAAAGCCCTGGTGGGGGTCCAGGGGGCGAAGCTCCTGGATTCTAGAGATTTTCTAGGGTAAAAATGAGGTCTACCAATTTGACATATTTACATTTTCTAGACAAAACTGTGATTTACGCTAACTTTGACAATTTTAGGGGGGGCGCACGCCGGGTGCGCCCCCCCTTAAATCCGCCACTGCCACCCATTGCCTGGTTTTTTCGGTGGAGTGCCTATTAATGCCAGAATAAGAATCACTTTATATACTTGTACACTGTCAGTGTGTTGGTGAGACCTTGTCCCACATAGAGATTGTTCTCACCATCCACACACACACTACAGGGATACTGTACCCCTTGTTGTTGTGTGAGTAATATAGACAAGAACTGACCGTCTTGATCAAGGAGGTGAACAGTTTTACTGACACTATCACACACCAGAATGTGACCAAGGACATCAGTACAGAATCCATAGGGATTGAACCCTGACTTTTGACCTTTGTAGGAAAATCTGTGTTGTCCTGATTTATTCACCACCACTGCTGCACCTTTATAAATGTCTGATGTACAGATATCTCCACTGATGTTTTCTGTTATGTAATATGGATAAGTATACAATTCCTGTCCTTTGTTATCCCTCTGTATGTTCTGTAGTTCTTTTCCTGTCTTGTTGTACCTGGTGACTTTACCAGCCTCTCTATCCTTCTTCATCCCCACCAGTAAGTCCCCATTGATGTGGGAGGAGTGTGTGCTGTATGGTCTACAGTCTCCAGTTTCAATGAATTCATTGATATTATTATCCTGTGTTATCCTATTGACAACTTTCTTGTCTTTGTCTGTAAAGATCAGATCCCCGTTCTGTGTGACTGTGTGGTAACCTTCACGTCCACCACTGGTTTTTATCCTCTGTATCACATTCCCCTGTAGATCTGTTTGGACAAGATTACCAAATATGTCACTGATCCAGAGTCTGTCTGATTGATCTTGTGATACATGGAATACATTCTTAACACCTGGTACATTGAACTCCCTGACCTTGGTGACAGAGGCAGATAGAGACATTGTTTCTTGTCAGATTTCACATGTTTATTTAAGGAATCACTGTCTAGTTTTGAGAGTATGCCAGGGCATCAACAAAAGTGGGAAACATGGGATAATTTGCATAACGGGTGAAGCCCGTTATGCTAAAATTATCCCATGCTTCCCACTATTGTTGATGTCCCTGGCATACTCGCATAACTAGACAGTGATTCCTTATATTTCCATTTCATTGTGAAATAAAATTGTAGACTTAGACATTAAAAAAGTAGACTAATAGATTTAAATTGCACAAGGACTTCCATGCCAATTTCAAAAGTCCTCGCACACTGACGTCAAACACAAAGGCAGCCGCACGAGATTTGCATGCATATTTGGCCTCCTTAGCGTAAGACACAGAGACAGATGCGCACGAGATTTGCATGCGTATTAGGCCTCCTTAGCTGCTGACCTATCGACCTGCCTAATTTACATTCCGGTAGAATTATCAAGAAATAAATTACCCTAACTTTCAAATAG